CCTCCCCCAGGGCGCAGGCAGTGGGCCTCTGTTGGCATTTTAAAAGGCCTGGGGCTCCATCCCCTGCTAGGAGCCCCAGGCCCTTTAAATTGCTCCCTGGGGAAGCCGGGCCACCCTGGTACGGCAAACCGGCTTACTTTCACCTCTGGTGTTATCTATAAAACACATAAGTGACTGAGATGTACATTTACTATGTACAGTGTGGAGGATGTGTGTGTTGAAATGGTTTGCTAAAAGAATTTTTAAAAACTGCATATATGTCTAGGGTGACCAGACGTCCCAATTTTATTGGGACTGTCCTGATATTTCCTTGTTTGTCCCACGTCCTGACCAATGGGACACTGGACAAACAAGAAAATACTCCAGAGCCCTGAAGTGCTCGCGACCCCCCCCCCGACTCCGCCCCCTCCTTCCCCCCATTGGCTCCCTCCCCGAATCCCCGCCTCTTCCCCAGGCTCGCCATTCCTCCCCCACTCTGGCGCTTGTGGAGGGAGGCCCGGGAGACGCAGGGGAAGCGTGGGGCCGGGGTGAGTGAGCGTCCAGCCTGGCCCCCAGCGCAGGCAGGACTCAGTCGGGTGGTAGGGAGACATCAGCAGCCCAGCCCTGTTCGTTCCTCTGCGGGACCCGAGTGGGACGGGGGGCTAGGGCCACCCGCGGGATAGCACCAGCTGGGCAGCAGCCCAGACGCGACTGGCCAGGGGCTGGGCGCAGCGTGCGCGCTGCTGGGTCCCCGCAGCAGGCCCGGGCTCAGGCGCCAGAGCCGCACCCGCTGAGCTTGGCCATTGGCCGCTTCCTCCCCCTATGGCAGTGGGAGCTGCAGCAGTGGCTGTTCCCGAGTCCCGCTGCCTGGGGGGAAGAACAGCCACCGCCTGGCCCCATGGGCCGCCCCCTACTCTCCCTACTGCCCGACTGAGTCCTGCCTGCACTCGGGGCCAGGCCGGACTCTCACTCATCCCAGCCCCGCGCTTCCCCTGCGTCTCCCGGGCCTCCCTCCAGCGCTTGTGGAGGAAAGGGGGGGAGGGGTGGGTTTTTTTTGCCCCGCCCCCCGTCCCGATATTGGACTTGGGTGATCTGGTCACCCTATATATGTCTGGGTGTGTCCAACCATGGGAGTGAGTTTAAAAGTAAGTTAGATAGCATTATGTGAAAACCATGGTCATTTTCTCTAATTCCTACTCTTTACACTTATCAAAAAAATTCTTGCTTGCATATCTTTCAGTTTTAATAATCTGAACTGAAGATATACTACAAGTGCTTTGTCAATTCATTATTATAAGGCAAAGTTTTATTATATATGACAACACAAGCATTTTCTTTTTTGGCTTTGAAATCGGGTACATCTTCTAGTTCAATGTTCGAAAATTGACACAAGTTATTACAGGGGCCATATCCCCCAGATTCCTGTGGCTCTAGTGCTAGGAACATAGCCTGGTGTGTTGAAGTTAAATATAGACACTTGTTTCGAATGTTTGTGGATGCACCCAACCAACATATTTTTATCCCTTCGGTTGCAAAACCCCCCAACAAAATGAAAGATTTAAGAGAAAGAGTGACTTATTATTATATTATCTATTAGATTAAATTAACAACTGAGCTATATGAAGAAAAATGATACAAAGTCTCATGGTCTGCAGCCCCCAGATTTCTATTATTATGGTGGTAGGACAATATCTTGATTTACTGAAATTAAACAAAAAGAGATAGCTGTCTAGAATTTGTGACTGCAGCCAAACAAGTTATTTTATCATGTTGGTTATGAAAACAAATACTATTGCTCCACTGTACCTTTTTTACCTTTTGTGTTTGTTCCCTCTTTTTAAAAATATTAATGTAAGGAGGTACATCCTTTTAACAACTATTTATCTTTAAATACAAAATACTATTTGCTTTCCAACAAAAATATGTAATATATAATGTACATCACAGATTATTAAAAGGTATAATGATAAGTACCTAGTTTTTACAATTTTTTCTCCAATTATTGCGGGGGGGGAGGGAGGGGAGGGGAGGGAAAGACGACAACATGTATTGGCCTGCTTTAGTTAACATTCAGATTTAGATACCCATTTTTCCTTAACATGCATCTCTGCACACATTTTAAATGCCTCTGAATTTTAGTATTTTTTCATTATCTTCATTGTGGTTCTTTATAGTTTCCAGGAATAGTGCTAGTTATCAGTCATTGGTTTAGGAGTTCTAGGCCGTACATCAAATCCTATTACCATCCCTCCTTAGATTGGGGGTCAGTCAGAGGTGAAAGTAAGCCGGTACGGTACGGCGAACCGGCAAGAGCCAGTACGCCGTGCCGGACTGCACTGGCTGCCGGAGCTGCAGCGGGGATTTAAAGGGCCCTGAGCTCCAGGGCAGCCGGAGCCCGGGCCTTTTAATTTGTCCCTGAGCCCTGGGGGCTCCCAGCCACCTCTGCAGCTGGGAGCCCCGGGATGATTTAAAGGCCCTGGGGCTCCCAGCCACAGCCGGTGTCCCAGGGCCTTTAAATCTCGAGAGGCCCCGCCTCTTCCGGTTGAGGCCATGCCTCTTCCGGGTGAGGCCCCGCCCTGCTCAGGACTCCGGTTGTACTGGTAAGTCCTGTAAGTTACTTTCACCCCTGGGGTCAGTTGTTGGAAGGGAGGAGGCCAGGCACCAGAAAAAAGGTTTCATCTCATAATGTCACATCCAGTGACATCGTCACCCTTATCTCTCAATCTCATTCTGACAGAAGTCAGGGGTAAGGTACCACGTAGATAAAATATTCAATTTCACATTTTCTTCTTGATTTTAGTCAAGTTTTTAATGCAAAAAATCTATTAGAAAAAATAAAAATAATGAATTTCCATGTCCTTTAAATAAAAAGGGACACCTTAATTATAAGATTCTTTAGATAACAGCTTGTTGAAGTGAGAAAAATCTATTTGGGATGTGAGACTATCCATTTACCCTAATGAATAAAATTATAAAGCTAATTACTAAACAAAAATTCTACACTTTGATTCTCTCTCATATGACTTAATATTCTACATTTGAATTCACAACAAAATTTGCACATATTTTATCTTTACTGAAGTTTTGAAGCTGTAAAATGGTTTAACACTATCTGAAAATTTACTGTAACCCCTATCCTCTACACACAAAAATGCCTTTTGCGTCTTTAACAAAGTGTGCTACTGGCATTTTCATTAATCCTGATAGACTGTTTGCACCATATTCTCCTGAACCACCCACCCTCTTTTGTTGTGATTTGTTTTGTGCTGGAAGTCAGAATGAGTAGATGGAAATAAAATTCATAACAACAATTGTGTACTACTTGTGTGCTTAAACAAAACATTACCATTCTTTAGCTTAGTGTTTTAAATCCAGCCTAAATAAGTAGTCACCAAAAGCCAGTAATATCTTAATGCTGTTTGATGCGCTACATGAAGTAAATTGGCACCTTCTGTTTAGTTCCTAGTGCTGTCCATATCACAAAACCTACCACATTTGGCTAGGCTTTGCCGGATAGACCAGAAGGGACACCAAGGACTGAGTGTGCATGGCAACCAAACTATCCACTTAATTAGGCAATCCTTAAACAAATATGTATTCAAAATCATAGTGATTACCTGGATGCATAAAGATTACTCACATTAAGAGTTTCATGATCAGGTGATCATGATCAGTTTCATGAGATCCTTTCAGAACTGAGATGAACCACTTTTGCAAATAATGTATATCACATCGATGCTATTATGTATCAACTTGTGTAAAAGCCTTTCACCCCAACCCTATTACCAGGGGATTATAATTTCACCACTACAGAGAGTGACTTTGAGAGAAAAGAAAGCATAATATCTAAGCCTGGAAAGAATATTGTATGAGTGGAAGTTTTTCCCCCCAACTCAATGTGATGCACTGTAAATTGAGCAAACATCATGCTGCACATTGACTGAAAAAGAGTATTTTTCAAAGATTAGGTTTCACAAGCAGAGAATAGCAGCTCTGTAGAAATTATACTTTGAGTAGACAAAGTTCATCTCTGTTCTGAGGGCCAGCACAAGGCACATTCCCCAGTGAAGTCCTATCTGAAGGAGTTAAGTGGGATTTTAAAGATGCATACGCATTTCACTGGCCCACTACACAAGGGTTAATTTTACCCAGTTGAAGTTATAAGAGTTCTACAAACGTGTAAGTGTTCAAAGTTTTAGGAGAAGGAAAAATACAGTGCTTCCAAAATATGGTAGTATCATTAACACAAACTTTCAGATCTCAGGTCAAACTGGATCTTCCTCCACCCAAATGTGAAAGTCCAATTAAAGTTCTAATACCTTTTTCTATGT